GGGATGGTTAGTAGTGATACAATTGGGTGTAAAAAAGATTGACACACAGTACTCAAAGCAAGTTTCCAATACCAGGTGAATGCCTGCAACTAACTGCCCCTCTCCTGTAGCTGTGGCCTCCAAGCTTCTGCCCCTCCCCTGCTATGCCAGGGAGATAAGGCTTCTTCTCTCCCAGACTCTAGCCTTGACTAGTTTTCCATCTTTTCGCAGCTCGAGTCTGAATGTATGAGGTTGAGAAAAATCCCTTGTTTTCCCTTCAACCAGTGTTGCAACCCCACCACTCACTATGGAGTTCAAGCCACTTGCCTTGCTCTTTCCCAAAAGGGAGCTTCTGCTTACTAGTTGCCAAAGTAGATTCATCCCCTGCCCCTTTGTTCTCCTTGAACTGAATATTGAGGGAGATGTCAAGGTGGTCAGAAATGGTTTCCTAGTGGAGGAACTAAGACTTGTACATACTGAATGTAAATTCAACGTAGAAAGGGTTAATGAAGTACAGCAAGAAAGAAATGGAATGCAACTAGAGTGGAGGTAAAAATTACTTTTGAGTAAAAGGAGAGCTATAGATAAAATATTCTGGAAGTATTTTCAAATGGAAGTTCCAGAAAACAATTTGGTAGTATGTAACAAGAGACTTAAAAATGACCTAGTAATCCCACTTCTAGAAACAGCCTAAGAAAATAATCAGAGATGTATTCAGTTATGCAAGGATGTTTTTGGATTATTTATAGCCAAAAATGGAGTGTCCAACATAAAGAAATGGTTAAATAAATTTTGGTACATCTGTAAACAGATATCATGAAATAATTTCTTCAGTGTATGGGAAGAATATTTAAAGGAATACCAAAATACTAATTACATGTTAAGTCAAAAAAGGAGGATACATAGCCCAGCCAGCATGGCTCAGTGATTGAGCTTCAACTTATGAACTAGGAGGTCATGGTTTGATTCCCAGTCAGGGCACATGCCCAGGTTGCAGGTTTGATCCCCAGTGTGGGGTCTGCAGGAGGCAGAAGATCAATGATTCTCTCCCATCATTGATGTTTCTATCTCTCTCTCCCTCTCCCTTTCCTCTCTGAAATCAATAAAAAAATTTTTTTTAAAAAGTAGGATATATAAATATATACACATCTGATCCCAATTTCTTTTTTTTTAAAAAAAAAAGCATATACAATAAACACATGCAAGAAAACTGTTCAAAAGACATACACCAAAATGTTAAGAATGGTTATTTCTGGATTATGAATGACTTTTTTTTCTTTTACTTTTACTTTTTATTTCTGCTAAACATTTTCTCCCAAACCATATATTATATTTAGAATAGAAAAGAAAAACCTGTAGTTTCAAAAAGAAATTAGAGAAGCTGATGTGCCTATATGCAAATGAATATATTTCTGGACATGGGCCCTAAAGGCATATATACACACATATATATTTATTTCCTGTCTCTGATTACCACAGAAAATAGACAGCTGAAGAATCTTTTTTTTTTTTTTTAAGTGGGCACTCCTTTTAAGTGTTTCATATCTGAATATGTTCCAAGAACAGACTTTAGCAATGTTTCATCCTGGGACAAAACTTCAGACGACTGAGTTTCTATATAGCCCCTTCAGAGGTACAATATCTGACACAAGTAGAAGGGGCTGAGGTGGTTGCATCCTTTCTTTTTTTATTGTTTTATTGCTTAAAGTATTACAAAGGGTATTACATATGTGTCCTTTTTTTTTTTTCCCCGCCCTTGAAAATCCCCTGGCCTCCCCTACCCGCCAGGTTGCATCCTTGATTTAGTTAGATCTTATACCTGACAACTTCAGTAACATACATGTCTTACTACCACTTTTGTAGAAAACTTTAAAAAGTACTTGTATTAAGTAGATATATAAGATGATAGTTAGCCAGCTAGATGGACAGACAGATGATAGAAGGATTTGGGCCCTGGAAGATGTTGCTCAATGGTTAGAGCATCAACCCCCACACCAAAGGGTTGCAGGTTTGATTCCAGGTCAAGGGCACGTACCTGGGTTGTAGGTTCGATCCCTGGCCCTCAATCAGGGTGGGAATGGGAAGCAGCTAATCTCTCTTTCTCTTCCCCCCTCCCCTCACATCCTTCCACTCTCTAAAAATCAATAGAAAAAATATCCTTGAGTGAGGATTAACAAAATAAAAAAAAGGAAGAAGGTATGGGATGATTTCTTGGAGGAGATAGGCACCGAGTGAACTTTGAAGGATGAATAGGACTTTAACTCGTGGAAGTATTCTAGTGGTGAGAACAGTGTGAACAAAAGCTGGAAGCAGAAAAAACATAGGGCATATTTGGAAAAGAACAAATAATCCAATTTGTCTAGATTGATAAGGTAAATGGAGGAGAAACCGGGGAAATATGATGATAAGGGTAGGATGGAACCAGATCATGATGGTCCTTGAGGGCCATGTTACTTTCCTTCGGGAGGAACTGACCAATGACTCTGCTCTGCAGAAGCACCTGGGCTCTCAGGTGGAGGTCCTGGAAAGAGGTGAGCAAGTAATAAAAAATCTGGCTGTGCCTCCCAAGACCTAGTGCCCCTCCCAGATTTGGACTTAGAGGGGCCATTGGTCTTGTAGACCAAAGGCATTGTTTGATAGAGGAGAAAACAGGTCCAGAAATGTGTGATGTTTAATTGGGTTTTAGAATCCCATATGATCTGCCCAAAGTTAGCCATGACATTGAGCAGAGCAGCGGTCGCCAACCTTTTGGACCTCACGGACTACCAGTGGTCCGAGGACCACAGGTTGGCGACCACTGGAGCAGAGCATCCAATGGACAATAAACTACTCAATAAACACTGTATTTATTGAAAAGTTCATATATTCAATTTGTTATGCACAGTGAAAGTGTCTTTCAAATACAAGATGTAATCTAATCCTCCCAACTACGCAATGGTCATTACTCCACCTCCAAAGGGTGAGAAACTGAAGCTGAGAGGTCAAAAATGAGATCACAGAACAGAAACGTGGCAGGGCTAGGACTTAAACCTAGATTTTCCTTTCGCTGCTTTAGCTCAGTGGTTTCCAAATGTGGTCCCATCACGTGGGAACTTGTTAGAAATGCAAATTCTCTGTCCCCAGTCTAGACCTACCGAATCAGAAACCCTGGGGATGGGGCCCAGCAACCTGTATTTTAACAAGTCCCCTGGTGATTCTGATGCACACTGAAGTTTCAGAACCACTACGCAATATATGGCTAATTGATGCAGGAGGACATGGAGGCTCCAAGACTGACCTTCTTTCTCCGAGTGAACTCTAGATAAGCCAAGAGGTAGCACTGGCACCAGACCTGGAGTAATGCAGACCCCTGCCCCCCCCCCCCCCCCAACAGGCAGGGATGTTGGCTTTAGGGGTAGAATTTAGCTATTTAGCTGACCACCACATTCTACAACATAGTCCTGGCATAGGCCTCATCCAGAGGAGGGGTTGCCAGGCACTTTTTGAGAGCACAAAGGATCTAAGCCTCACAAATCTAAACTTCTTGTTTCGAGGCGAGATACCACCACAGTCACTGCGATTACCTGTGTGTGGTGATTTACGCCCACTCTGATGAGAGATGGTTGGGATTACTCCAGCCTAGAAAAGGGGTATGTTAGACCTACCCCACTGGGGAGAGATGTCTCTCTCCTGTCACCCAGCCCTGCTTTTCATGGGAGGGAGGGGAGCAACTGCAGGCAAGAGTGGGACCTTCCCACAGGGCACAGGAGCAGACACCCAGGGTGGGGGCATTCCACCCTGCAGAGGTAGAGAGGAAGAGCAGAGGGGTGTAGTATGCCCAGGGCCTTGGGGACAGGCGTCAGGAGGGAAGGGGCAGAGCTGAAACATCAGGCAGTGGGAGAGAAGTGCGTCTGCCGGAGGATCTCTGCGAAAGGGCTACCAGAGTCCTGAACCAGTGAGTCTCAGGCCTGCAAGTTCACCAGGCTCCATGCCAAGAGAATGGAAAACCCCTGGGCCTCTCCAGAGGTGAACTCCCTGTTTCCACAACCCCTGTCCAGGGAACCCGAGTTGTTGACCCCCGGGTTCGAGGACCAGGCTTTGGTCTTTGTTTTTGCGTGCCTGCCTTGTGCCCTGGGCACAGAGTCCAGGGACTGATCTCTGCCTGGATACACATTTTCAGTCCTAATCTGTACACAGCCAGGCTGGTCTCATTCACACAGCCAGGACCTTTCCCCTTCAGCTGCAGTTTCCTACAAGTGTGACCGCCCAGTGTTATGATTCAAACAGGGCTCAGTCCCCAGGGATAGATAGCAGGGCTGGGTGGAGTTGGCAGTGTTGGACCTAAAATGCCACGCCCTGTCTCTCTGGTTTTCAGAGTGATATACAATGTAATGCCCATCCACACTCCTTGTGAATTACCTTCAAGAGGGTTAGGGGTGGGGATGAGGAACAGAAATCTTGCAAGGACAGACTCTCTATTAACCAGATCCTGGGCTACTCCAAGCAATCACTGGAAGCCAGTACCTTCCTACCTCCATGGAGCTTCCAAGCTACAGATCTCTGTGCTTTCAGGCCCTTGAGGAGCAGTCACCTGGGGAGAAGCTCCAAATCCTCTGCTGAGATTACTCCTCTCCTGGCAGTTGTGGGGGTGGCTTGAAGAGGAGGCAGGGTGGGAGGGAGGGGGACAAATGATAGACCAGCTTTCTGCTCCAATTTCCACTGGTGTTCCTAAAGCACAGAATTCAGCATTGCCTATGAGTGCTTTTCCTAGCAATAGCAGCCATCAGAGGGCTGCAAGTGTGGAATAGAGAGATAGAAAGAGGAGAGAGAGAGAGAGAGAGAGAGAGAGAGAGAGAGAGAGAGAGAGAGAGAGAGAGAGAGAGAGAGGAATATGCATATGAGAGAGACAGAAAAGAGCCCTGCTATTTTGTTTCCCATTCTCCATGTGATTGGCAGTAGTTTTCCTCCTCCACTAAGAAGTCAGCCTCCTCCCCTACCATCCTGATGTGACCTATTTATCTGTTCCCTTTAAAGGAAGGTACCTTGGAAGGCAGCCCAGTCCAGGGCGGTCTGTCTGAGTCTCAAAGAGACAAGCTCTTAGTAAGTGAAATCCAGAAGCTGTAAAATCATGGGGCAAGGGCAAGGTAGTAGGGAGTTAGGCAAGGCTGGGGGAAAAGGGAAATGGAGGTTGGGGCTCCAAGGAGAGTGTTCAGTGGCGTGCTCTTGGACTTCAGGACTCTTCAAGCTGTGACGATGGGCAACAGGTTTTGGGCCCAGCAAAGAGTAGTGGAAGCAGCCAACATTGACTCCTGGAAAGAATGCGCAAACAGAATAAACATAAAATCCCAGTTCTTGCAAGTTCCCTGCTTTCTCCTCCTAGTTCACTGAGCTGAGCGATCTCATCTCTGAGCCCGTTTCCTTATCTGCAAAATTCGGACAACAATTTCTACCTCAGAAGATTGATAAAAAGATTAAATTATTTACTGCACCCTCTGTTCCCTCCTAAAGAAAACTCAACTAGGTCTCAGATCAATGGCACATATCATAGCTACAATTTATATGTACCTCTTTTGTGGGAAGCACTGGATATAGAGTTTATCTCAATTCTGTGAGAAATCCTATATAATGAAGAGTAATATGCTAATTAGACTGAATAGCAGAACGACCGTCAGGACGACCTTCCAGACGAAGCCAGGGCTGCAAGGGCCAAGCCCCTTGCATGAATTCCATGCATCGGGCCTCTAGTGTATTATGATCATTTAACCAATAAGGAATCCAAGACTTAGAGAAGTTAAAACACTTCTGCAAGCTCACACAGCTAGCAGGTAGCAGAGCTGAGGTTGGCACTCACGGCTGTCTGGCCTCCCCGACTGTCACATCACTGGCCTTAATGACAAAGTAGCTGGCAAACATCCGTGTCCCCAAATATTAAGTAAATTTAGAATGCTGAGTCAGATTGAGTCCCTGAGAAATCAAAGACTAATTGGGTTGTATAATGCTATCGTTTTATGTAAATCTTGGCAAGGAGGATATTGTCTTGCAGTCTGGAAAACTATAAATGCCTATCTGGTCTCTAGCTTCTGGGCCTTCAGTCTAGCCTCCCTCCAACCCATTCTTCTCACTGTAGCCACAGAGAACATTTTCCTGCTTCTGTCACTGAGCTGCCCTGAGGATTACATCCAAACTCAATGTGGCCATGGCCTGTCCTGTCCTTGGTAGGCCCTAGACTTGAGAGGCCCTACACTATTTTTTATAAAATGTATTAAAATATACCTATATCACTCCCAAATGTGAAATTTTTAATGTAAAAATTTTGAAAGGGTTTTTCATTATTTGCGATTTAGAATGATGAATTTAAATGTTTACTTTTCACATGTAGGTACCAATCATTTTTTTTCAGGTCTCAAATACTTGGGGCCTTTGGAAAGCTCACAGTCCTAAGGACTATGCATATGGTGCCTAATGAGCGAAACAGCCCTCTATGTGGCCCCTGTCCACTTCCGCTGCATACCAGGCTTTTGTAAATACTGTTGCCTCTGCCAAGAATTTTGTTTTTCCTTCTATAGCAGTGGCCCTGTTCATACCGTTTCCACTCCCTCATTGCCCAGAAATTTATTTATTTTGACCTAAGTTCATAGAAGCCTATCCTCTCAGTTTCTTTGTATATAAAATAAGAGTGATAGTAGTAATAGTAGTGCCTACTTCATATGGCTAAGATAAAATAAGCCCTAGCCAGTTTGACCCAGTGGATAGGGCATCGGCCTGCAGACTGAAGGGTCCCAGGTTCGATTCTGGTCAAGGGCATGTACCTCCGTTGCAGGCTCCTCCCTGGCCCGGGCCCTGATTGGGGCTCATGCAGGAGGCAACCAATCGATGTGTTTCTCTCACATCGATATTTCTCTCTCTTTCCCTCTCTCTTCCACTCTCTCTACAAATCAATGAAAATATATCCTTGGGTGAGGATTTAAAAAAAAAAGATAAAATAAGTTAGTATGTATACCAGAGCCTTGCTACACAAAGTATGATATCTGGGAACTTGTCAGGCTCCACCCCAGACACACTGAATCAGAATCTGCAGGTTAACAAGATCCACGGGTGATTCGAATGCACAATTAAGTGCTGCACTAATGTACTTAGAACGGTGATTTTCAATCTTTTTCAACTTATGGCACACACAAACTAATTACTAACATTCTGCAGCATGCCAAAAAATATATTTTTTTGCTGATGGGCAAAAAAAATAGGTGTAATTTTGATTTAGTTACAAAACATGTAATTACCTACCCTTTTGCTTCAATGTGACTTTAAAAAATCAGTAGCCTGTATGTGTATATAAGGATTTCTAATACCAAGAATTAACCAATCAGACACAACCTTATTATGCCACATCAACCAATAAGATGCAACTCTATTATGTGACCTATATATTTATGGTTCAAGACAGGGCCTTCATATGAGACGGCTATTGTTGTGTTGGCTGTTGTCATGTTTTTATTTGTCAATCTAAAGGAAGAGAGGTCAGTGCCCCTGACTAAATAGTCAGGTATTCCATGTTTTAAAAATTCTTGTGGCACACCAGTTGAAAATCACTGACTTAGAACAATGCCTGTTACATAATAAACACTCAATAAATGATACCATTGTTATCATTGCCCTCTGTTTTCCTTCACACCTACTTTTAACTTAAAAACTCTAGTTCAGCGGCTTATGCACAGTGTTCCTGGAGCACTGGCATCTTGGGACCTGGACCATGGCATTTCCGCTAAATGCTGAGGCTCCAGCCAAAACAGGGTTCCTGCACTCAGTTAGCTTCCCTCCATCAGGAGGAAGTCAAGTAAGGAAATAGGCAACTGCAATATGTGGTGTGGCAAAGGTTATTAAAAAAGGACACCCAAGTCCTATAGGAGGCAGCTAACCTAGGCTTGTGGGTCAAGGAAAGTGCTATTTATTCTACGACCTGAAAGATGTTTCAGTATCTCAAGATTTCCCCCCCAAAGTGACAAAGTGGTCTCTACTCAAACAGTGAACTGATTGCATCCAGGTGTGAGATGGCCTGGGAAGGCCTTTAACTCTGCTCTGAAGTATCTACTGCCTTTGGGACCGTGGAGGTTTGAGTCTACTCTAGACACTACTTGGGATCCAGGTCCAAGCCCCCTCACTTAGAGAAAACTTTGGCTTCACTGCAAACCAGACCCTCGGTAGCTATAAAATTCTTAATCTTTCAGAGCCTTAGTTTCCTCATTTCCAGAATTTGAATAAGGATACGCCTCTCTACAGTGTTCTTGTGAGGACTGAGAGGACTAAAGTAAAGTTCCAGACACAGAGAAGGGGAAGAATCACGTGTCCCTTCTCCCTTTGCCTAGTTCGTGCGCGGCCGTATAGCAGCTGGGTGGACTTAGGCTTGGGGGCTGGAGTTTCTACACTGAAACATTCTTCTTACAAGTATCACTCTCCCTCCCCGCCCCCAACCGGTGCTGGGAGGCTGAGATAGGCAGCAATCGTGTCCGTGAGCAAGCTGGAAGGGACGGGTCAGTTAGGGGCACATGTGGGGTGATTTTGGAGGGAAGAAAAGGCCACTGTTTTCCAGGGCCCTAAACAACCTATGATGGATGTTCTGAAAGCTCCTGAACAGACCCGGCACAGTGCGGCCACGGTGAACCTCGGGCAGCCTGCCTGTGCTTAAGTGAGGCATTCCCTGGCAGACACCTTCGTGGATATATGAATATTCTTTTCATAAGGAGAAGTCTGTGCCTCCTGAAGGCAAACACGGGAGACCTGGCTCCCCGTCCCCCCAGCCCAAACTGGCCCCGGAAAGGCCGGCGAGAGCCCCGCGAAAAAGGCAGAACGTTCAGGCAGCAGCTGATTGGTTGGGAGGAGGCCGGGACCACGGGCGGGGCGCGCGGGGCCCGGGGCAGAGGCGCGCGGGGCCCAGGGGCGGGGCGCGCCGGGCAGGAGCTGGAGGGCCGGGACCACGAACACAGAATCAGCTGACTCGGGCTGGGCACGCTGCTGGGAGGGGAAGCAGGCCTGAGGGTACCCTTCCCCCATCCGGCCCTGGGGCCTGCCTTGCGTCTGGCCTTGAGCTTTTGTAACGGGGCTTTATCTCTTCCTTCCCTCACTGAAGATGGAGCGCAGTCCTCACCCTTTTCTAAAGCAAAACCACCCCCTCCCACCTACCAGCTCAGCTCAGCCTTTGTCACGGGGCGGTCGGGCTGGCTTCGGGCTGTGGGAGGGCAGAGAAGCCTCTTCCTGCCTCTCCCCCTCCGGAGCGGACTTGCTAACGGGTGGGTGGAGCCCAGTCAGAACTATTTCGGTTCCTTCTTCTCGGAGCAGCCTTTGGTTTCCTGCTTAGTTTCCCCTATGCTTATGTTATTAATAATATAGCTACCACTTTCTGAGCACTTGCCTTATATCAAGTAGGAACTTTACATATATATTTTCCTGGTATTTTAGGTCAACTGTGTATCATTAACCCCATTTTACAGGTGAGACAACTTGAAGTGAAGAAAAGCCAATTTGCTGGATGACACAGCTATTGTAAGTGGTTTAACTGGGATTCGCGTCCTAGGCTGGCTGGCTGGCTGAGCACTTTAATCCTGCCATGGCCTCTGGATGAGGCCCACGCCAGGTCTATGTTGTAGAATGTGGTGGTCAGCTAAATTCTACCCTAGAGCCACATTGTTTTCTGTTGAAGAACAAAAATTCAGTCGAGTAAGTTTGAAGATCTAATTGGCTTTATTGAGTGATTCATGGTAGCATGCTGTCCAGCAAGTAGAGCTGAGCATACAATATGGAAGGTTTTCATAGGCAGAAGCTGGGTGGGGACAAGAAAGTTATGGTCAAATGAATACAGATTAAGGACACGTCAATATATCGCCTCACATCTGTCAGAATGCCTATCATCAGTAAATCCACAAACAGCAAGTGTTGGTGAGAATGTGGAGAAGGGGGAGCCTTGGTGCACTGTTGGTGGGAATGTGGATTAGTGCAGCCACTGTGGAGGGTAGTGTGGAGGGTCCTCAAAAATTTTTAAATGGTACTGTCTTGTGCCCCTGAAACTGGACAACCAATGAGTTCTGGCTGCCAGTCACTACTTGAGTCAATTAAGCAGAGACAGAGTTGAATCATTTATGAGAGTTTATTCCAATAATGTCGGTAGTATAGGAGAGCAGCAGGTCATCTACAGAAATCTACTCTGCAACCCCCATAAGCCAGCTGCTTATATTGGGTAGAAGGACAAAGATTATATGGGAATGTCGGCAAAAGGAATAAAAATGGGTATGCAAAGGAAATAAAAGTTGGTAGAATGGTTACAGATTACATGCACTGTGGGCTGGGACAAGGTTGTTAGTCTCTCCATAATAGACAGTTCTAGGATAAGGAGAATGGACCACATTCCAAAGTTAACTCCCAGGTTCCAGAGCACAACTCCCAGCCAGATCAAAATATGCTTCCTTTAATCAGAATAAAGGGAAGGGTGGGGGAATGGGGAGAGGTCAGTCCATGAATTTGTATGCATATATGCATATCCCATGGACACAGACAATAGGGTGGTGAAGGCCTGGGGCGGGGGCGGGAACAGACTGGGAGAGGTCCATGGGGGAAAGTATAGTATGTAATACTTTCAACAATAAAGATTGAAAAATAAATAATCAGAAAACAAGTTCTTCTAACTATAGCTAGTCTCTGCTATTCTGTTTCTGCCCCTAACAACCCAGTGATTCCATATATATATATGGAAGGCCTTTAACTTTGCTCTGAAGTATCTACTGCCTTTGCTGTCTGCTTCATACATATATATATATATATATATATATATATATATATATATCCTATATATATATTAATACTATATATAGTATTAATTCAAAAGAATGAGTTCACACCTATGTTCATTGCAGCATTGCTTACAATAGGCAAAATATGGAAGCAACCCATGTGCCCAATAGAAGAGTAGATAAAAAAGCTGTGGTACATATATACAATGGAATGTTACTTGGCCATAAAAAAAAGAATGAAATCTTAACATTTGTGACAGCATGGATGGACCTAAAGAGTATTATGCTAAGTGAAATAAGTTAGTCAGAGAAAGCGAGATACCATATGATTTCACTTATATATGGAATCTAAAAAATGAAATAAATGAACAAACAAAATTGAAAGAGATTCATAGACATCATAGACTGATGGTTGCCAGAGGGAAGGGGGTTTTGAGGGACTGCGTGAAAAAGGTGAAGAGATTAAGAAGTACAAATTGATAGTCACAAAATGGTCACGGGGATGTAAAGTACAGCATAGGGAATATAGTCAAAAATATTGTAATAACTGTGTATGGTGCCAGGTGGGAGGGGAACGCTTTGTAAAGTATATGATTGTCTATGATTATTTTGCATTATTAATGCAAAATAATATTGAATAGAAACTGTAATTGAAAAATGAAATTTTAAAAAGAAAGTTATTAACAAAAGAAAAGAAAGATTGTTTCATTACTTTCCTTTATGGGAAAGGACATGTCTCATCAGGCCAATTGCCTCAATTTCTTGAGGGGTAGGGTGGAGAGGGCCCGTATGACAAATGACCTCTTTGGTACTGACCAGAAAATTCCAGATTGATAATAAGATTACATTCCTGGAGAAGATTAAAACTGCAATTAAGTCAGGTAGTAAATCCAGGTTCAGTGTCATGGGCTTTAGTACAAGTGACTTCATGTTGAACCTGTAGTTTTCTCTTTGAACACATCAAAGACATTTTTGGGGACCAGACTAGGGCAATGTTAGAAAAGATTTCCCTTAGAACCTGTTTCTTTAGCACAGGGATCTAAGCAAAGCTAGTGATCTGGAATTCCTTCCTGACTTTGGCGAGGAGCATTCTAGCTTGAGGCACATTCCTCCTTCCATCCTCCTGACCCTTTGCCACCCTTTTGGGTTTATCCATGCTGTTGCAAATGTAAGATTTCAAATGGTGAACTCTGGAGAGAAAAAACAAGGTATTCTGTTCTTTCAATGTCTCACCAATTGGAACTCACCTACAGATCAGCCATAAATATAAATCTAGAGAAAGAGAAAGTGAGTCAGGGAGCAACTCAGTGCAGTTACTCTCAGGTGCTCAGGGTGCTTGAGAAGGACTACAGCCTCCCAGGTCCTAACTTACCTGCCGCCACAGAATAGACACATCCCGAGTCCCCAGAACAACCCCTTATCAGTGAAGGGGTAGGACCATTGAAGAAAGTATAAGTGGTAGCTTTGAAAACCAGAGAGCATTATACACATGGAAGACAGGGTTTCTGTTTTGATGAGACATCAGTAAGGCAACGTATGGTTTTTATTATTTAAAAATAGTTACAAGCAATTTGTCAAATAATTCTACCTAGTGAACATAATTACATAAGACAAAAGCCTGAAAACCACCTCGAGGACCCAAACCTTAAGATCCTTAGACATGGTATGCAACAGTTTGTGAAGATCATCTCTTACCCCCATCTCCATCCTACAGCCCTCCATCTGGTACTGAAGTGGGGAGAAATCTGCAGCATTGGAGCCATAAAGGGCTGGGGCAATATGACTCTCCGTTCACATACGAGTAAACACAATACAAACTGGACATTAAAAAAAAAATACTGTTAGCCCTAGTTTCGCTCAGTGGATAGAGCGTCAGTTTGCGGACTGAAGGGTCCCGGCTTAGATTCTGGTCAAGGGCACATGCCCGATTGCTGGCTCAATCCCTAGTTGGGGGCATGCAGGAGGCAGCCGATCAATGATTCTCTCTCATCATTGATGTTTCTATTTCTCCCTCTCTCTTCCTCTCTGAAATCAATAAAAATATATTTTAAAGAATAATAATTTAAAAAATACTGTTATATGGGGAAGAGAAATAAAAGTTACCAAGTCCTTGAGATTGTTAATGAAGGTCTTGAAGCCTTTGAAAAGGTCTCAGCAGCCACAGTGCTGTTCATCCAGCTTATGTTGTATTAGAAGAACTACACTTTAGTTTTTCTCAGGCCAGAAGCCCCTAATATTTACCCTGTTTTAAAGCATCAGTTTCACCCTAGTGGGTTGGGTTGCAAGCTCGATCCCCAATGTGTGTGGGAGGCAACCAATTGATGTGTCTCTCTCACATCGGTGTTTCTCTCTTTGTCTCTCCCCTTCCCTTCCACTCCCTAAAAATCAATAGAAAAAATATCTTTGGGTGAAGATTAACAACAACAAAAATAAAGCTTCTGTTTCCACATTTGTAAGATAAGGAGGTTGGATTTAATGGCTCCTAGGTTGCCCCAAGTTGGGGAAATTCCTTATTCTGCAGTGCCCAGATGTTTTCATTAGTGATGCTCAGCTCCTCCATCTCAGTAATGGTAATCATCTGACCAACTGCTCAGCTTTCCTGCTTTATGAGATCATCACTGCCAGTTCCAAGTACGTTTGGCTGCCAGAGAGCAAACATTCCATGTGTGAACTGGGGATACATATTGCTGTGACAATAGTTCTGGCAAATTTGAGGCATGCTGATTTAATCAAGAACAGCACTAAATGTGGTGCAGTCTCCAACACAGCATTAGAGACCTGGGCCTGGGGCAAAGCCTCTGAATTTGCTTTCAGGGCTGCATCAATCTTAATGATCCAGGGCTTTGAGGAGCCAAGAATCAGAGTCCTAGAAACCTTACACCTACCAAGAATCCTCAGAAAGTTACCAGATCCACCCCCATCTTCGATCACATAGGATTCATTACATCTGAACCATCCTCAGTCTTGTCCATTAGGCCGAGGTTCTACTTGATATGATGATCCACAGTTGGGGCTAAAACCATCCTCAGGAGGCACTTGGGTAATCCACGTATATTAAATGATTAAAGAAAGTTGTCGCAAAATGGTCATAATCTCAAAGTGACCACCCACACACGGTTTCCAATAGGTATCAGTATCTCCTTATAGGTACCTCAGACCTTCAAATCCATAGATGAAGCAATAGGTTGGGGTGAGGAATTGATTTTTTTGTCTTTTTAGTGAATTCTTACACCAATTTTCTGAGTGCCATCATTGAGGTATATGAAATATGTAGAAACACAGAGAAGGGAGGAGAGTGGTAGGGAAAGGGTCACATTTATTGAACAACATCAGCATAGGGGTTGACTATACAGGCACTGTGGGGTAGGTGAAGGTGGGCAAACGGGGAGAGAATGGGGGATGGAAAGAGGCTGCTTGGGGTGATGGGAGTACTATGCAGTGTGCAGGTGATGTTTTGTTGAATTGTACACTCGAAACCTGTATAGTTTTC